CATTTATACAAAAATGCAAGGGACCCATAATAGCCTTTTTTGATTTTTTACAAAAGATTTCATTTCTTTTTAGAGAGAGGGGAAGGGAGAGAAACATCTTGGTTGCCTCTTCAACACGCCCAAATGAGGACCTGGCTCACAACCCAGGCCTGAGACCTGACCAGGAATCAAAACAGGTGACCTTTTGGTTTGCAGGTCGGCTTTCAATCCACTGAACTACACCAGCCAAGGGCTCACCTTAAAAGAGAAGAACAAAATTGGAGAATTTTCACTGGCTGGTGTGGCTCAGTAGATTGAGCGCCAGCCTGTGAACCAAAGGGTCACCAGTTTGATCCCAGTCAGAGCACATGCCTGGGTTGCAGACCAGGTCCCCAGTAAGGGGTGCTCCAGAGGCAACCTCACATTGACGTTACTCTCCCTCTCTTACTCCCTCCCTTCCCCTCTTTCCAAAAATAAATAAATAAAATCTTTAAAAAAAGAATTATGAATCTAACCCTGGCTGGTATGGCTCAATCTCAGTGGATTGAATGCTATTCTGAGAACCAGAAGGTCACTGGTTGGATTCCCTGACTCAGAGAGCCCATTCAAGAAAGTGAAAGGGGGACTTAAAAAAAAAACTTTTCTTAATATATTGATTATGCCATTACAGTTGTTCTATTTCCCCCCCTCATTCCCCCCCCCCCACCATTCCCCCTTTAGTTTGTGACCACGTGTCTCAAGTTCTTTAGATTCTGTATTTCCCATACTAATCTTGCCCTCCCCCCTATTTTCTACCTACTATCTATGCTATTTATTTTCTGTACCTTCTCCCCCCTTCTCTTCCTCCCACTCCCCTGTTGCTAAGCCTCCATGTGATCTTCATTTCTATGGTTCTGCTCCTGATCTAGCTGTCCTCTTAGTTTGCTTTTGTTTTAGGTGTGATTCTTAATAACTGAGTTTGCTGTCCTTTCACTGTTCATCTTTTTTATGTTCTTTTTCTTAGGTAAGTCCCTTTAACATTTCTTATAATGGCTTGGTGATGACGAACTCCTTGAATTTGATCTTATCTGAGAAGCACTTTATCTGCCCTTCCATTCTAAATGAAAGCTTTGCTGGATAGAGTCATCTTGGATGTAGGTCTTTGGATTTCATGACTTGGAATACTTCTTTCCAGCCCCTTCTTGCCTGTAAGGTCCCTTTTGAGAAATCTGCTGACAGTCTAATGGGAACTCCTTTGTAGGTGGCTGTCCCCTTATCTCTTGCTGCTTCCAGAATTCTCTCCTTCATTTTAATCTTGGCTAATGTAATGATGATGTGCCTTGGTGTGTTCCTTCTTGGGTCCAACTTCTTTGGGACTCTCTGAGCTTCCTGGAGGTCTATTTCCTTTGCCAGATTGGGGAAATTCTCCTTTATTATTTGTTCAAATAAGGTTTCCACTCATGGCTGCTCCTCTTCTTTTTCTGGTACCCCTATTATTCGGATGTTGGAATGTTTAAAGATGTCCTGAATGTTCCTAAGCCTTTCTTCATTTTTTTGAATTCTTGTTTCTTCATCCTTTTCTGTTTGGTCATTTTTTTCCTCTTTCTGGTCCACTCCTTTGATTTGAGTCCCAGTTTCCTTTCCACTACTATTGGTTTCCTGTGCATTTCCATTCATTTCAATTAGTTTAGCCTTCATCTGTTCCTCTAATTTGTGACTATAATCAACCAGTTCTGTGAGCATCCTGATCACCAGTGTTTTGAACTGTGCATCTGAAAGTTTGGCTATTTCTTCATTGCTTAGATTTACCAGCTCTGGGGCTCTGAGTTGTTCTTGAGCCATGTTTTGATCTGTTCGTGCCTGTTATGTATAAGGAGCGGAGCCTTAGATGTTCACCAGAGTGGGGCCACCCAGGCCGCTGGTTTGTGACACTGTATGTGGGGGCAGGGTCAGAGAGGGACAATAGTGGTCCCCTCTGCTGCTTCCTGCCACTGGGCCCTGCATGGGCTGTCTCACCACTCACTCCTTCACTGGTTTATCTGCACGTGAATAGGTGACCATGGTCAGCCCTCTCTGAGTCCACCACCTTGTACCCTCAGTGGGTCCACCCACTACTCCACACCTGGGATCTGCCTACAGCTGCCGGTGTGGCCTGTGTCCTATGGCCGGGTTGGTCTGGTGCATCTTTCCTGTCCTATCCCACTCTGCTGCTGGCTCTGCCCCTCTTACCAGCTTGGCTGAAGGGTTCGTTGTTGTCAGACTTCTGGATAGTTCAATTTTCTGTGGTTTGGCTGCATTTTTGTTGCTAGAACTTTGTTGTTTTTAAACTTGGTTGTGCAAGGAGGTACGATGCTTCCACCTATGCCTCCATCTTGGCAGAAGTCCTAAAAAAATTTTTTTAAGTGAAAAGATAACTCATAGAATGAAAAAAGTTTGCAAATCATGTATTACATAAGGAACTATATATCTATAGAATATACTAAAAACTCTTAAACTCAATAGCTTTTCAAAACCTTATTTAAAATAGGCAAAAAATTTGAATAGACATTTCCCCAAAGAAGATCTATAAGGCCCTGAGGGTTGGTTAGAGTGTTGTCCCGATAGACCAAGGTTGTATGTTTGATCCCTGGTCAGGGCACATACAAGAATCAACCAATGAATGAATAAATAAGTAGAACAACAAGTTGATGTTTCTTTGTCTCTCTCAACTCAATAAATTAAGAAAATTTTTAGATTTTTGTTTATTTTTTAGAGAGAGGGGAAGGAACAAAAAGAGGGGGAGAAATAATTTTTAAAGAGATATACGAATGGCCAATAAGCACATGAAAAGGTGCCCAACACCATTAGTCATCAAGGAAAAGCAAATCTAAACCACAAGAAGGTATCACTCCCAACCCACTAGCATGGTTATAATAAAAAAAAAGACAATCAATAAAAAGTGTTGATGAGGACGTGAAGTTGGAATCCTCCATAGATTGCTAATGGGAATGTAAAATGAGGCAGGCATTTTAGCAAATGTTCTGGCAGTTCCTCAAAAGGTTAGACATAGAAACCACATGATGCAGCAATTCCACTCCTAGCTACACACCCAAAGGAAATGAAGACATACATTGAGCCAAAGATTTGCATGCAAATGTCATTATCTCATCATTTGCAATAGCCAAAAAATGGAAACCGCCCTGACTGGTGTAGTTCAGTGGATTGAGCACAGGCCTGTGAAGCAAAGGGTTGCTGGTTCAATTCTCAGTCAGGGTACATGCCTGGGTTGCAGGCCAGGTCTCCAGTGGGGGACACATGAGTGACAACCAAACATTGATGTTTCTCTCCCACTCTTTCTCCTTCTCTTCCCCTCTCTCTAAAAATAAATAAATAAAATATTTAAAAAAAATGGAAACCTCGCAAATGTCCATCAACTGATGAATGGATAAACAAGATATTATATAGCCATATAATAGAATATTATTCAGCAGTAATGAGAAATGAAGTACTGAGCCATGATATAATAGAAATGTACCTTGAAAACGTTATGTTAAATGAAAGAAGTCGATCACAAAAGACTTCATGCTGCCCTGGCTGGTATAGCTCAGTGGGTGAGCACGGGCCTGCGAACTACACGATTGCTGTTTGATTCCCAGTCAGGGCACATGCCTGGGTTGTAGGCCAGTTCCCAGCAGGGAGGCAACCATACATTGATATTTCTCTCCTTCCCTTCCTCTCTAAAGATAAATAAATAAAATCTAAAAAAAAAAAAAAAAAGACCTCATGTTGTCTGATTCCAATAATGTAAAATGTCTGGATTAGGCATGCCCGTAGAGGCAGAAAGTAGATTTCTAGTTGCCTAGGGCTGGGAAGGGGAGGGAATGGAGAATGACTGCCAAAGATGAGGGTTTCTTTTGGGAATGCTAGAAATGTTCTAAATTTTATGATAATGGTTATACAACTATGCACATATTGATACTGATTATATGAATATGCGCCTGTGGAAAAATAGTAAAATTTTTTTTCAATTTAAATGGCTGAATTGTATGGTATGTGAACTGTATGTCACTGAAGCTATTAATTATTTAATTTCTTAAAAAAGAGAAAGACTAACGGAGCTCAGTTGTAAGCTCCTCCAAAAGTCTCCACCCCTCCCCTAAATAAACCTTCCAATTTACCATCTTCTCAGCCTGAAGTCGTGAGCTGTTTGCAGTTCTTTCCTTTTCCATTGTCTCCCATCCAGGACAGCCTCTTTTTGCCGGAGCCCCCCAAAGGTAGGGACTGCACCTAATCAGTTCTAGTGTTCCCACCCCTATCTCCACCCCCAGGATGCCCCAGGATCTGTACCGAAGGCAAGCAGATGGGGTTTGAATCTCTGCTACTAGGAAACACAAACAAGCCCTGGCTAGTGTGGTTCAGTGGACTGCGGGCCAGCCTGCGAACCAAGGGCTTGTTGCTTCTGTTCTCTGGGATTCCCAACCAGGGCACGTGTCTGGGTTGCCGTCCAGGTCCTCAGTTGGAAATGCGGGAGAGACAACCACACACTGATGTTTCTCTCCCTCTCCTTCCCTTTCCCTCTCTCTAAATTCCCATAATAACTACTACTAGCGTTCCAGCGCTTAATTAATGTTAGCTCTTGTTACTTGTTCCGTGCTTGGCTTTTACCGTGGGCATTTAATTACTTCCATTTTTAAAATTAAAACTCCCAGGTCGGTGGCTCGAGACCTACGTAACACACCTCCCAGAAAAGTGCTGCAATCGTATAATAAATACCGCGGCCACCGAGACCTGTTCTACTTATATAGAAGCTTCTCTGCGAAGAGGAACTCAACAGTCCACAGAGGCCTCTCCGAGTGCTTGCCCATACCCGCGTGCCGCGCTCGCCGACGCTCCCGTACGGGTGCAGCGGAACAGGATGGACTGACTGTCCACACTAACTCTAGGGAAGGTAGTCTAGCTGCAAAGGGAGGAGGAACTGTAAAGAGGTTGGTGTATCTGGAACCAACGAAAAAACAGACCTCATTGAGCGCGGGGCTAAGAGCGAATAGATGCGCGGCTAGGAGGGGGCGGGACTTCCGGAAACGAAGTCCTGGTAAGCGGCTGCGCGAGGGCGAGAACTTCCTTTTGTGGGTTGTGGCGCTCACGAAGACAGCGTTATGAAGGCCTCGGGAACGGTAAAGTCTTCATAGCAGGGGAGGGGGTTGTGGAACCTGTCGAGGACCGAATAGGGGGGGCCCAAGGGCGGTTACAGGCTGCGATGAGAGTGCGTGCTTCCGGCTGGGCCTCGCGCGGCCGCGTGCGGGCTCCCGGAGATGCGGCCAATATGGCGGCCAGTCTGGGTCTCGCGTGGGGATGCCGGTTCTTGATCCGGGCTGGCTCGGGAATCACGGAGTCGGGGAGGCCGGGTCCCCTTTCCAGGGGAAGGGACACGTTGCACGGTATGGAGGCTCGCGTTACCGGAGCTCCTCGAGCTTTCGAACTTAAATTGCAAATTGAACGTTGGTGGAAGCAGTAGTGCCCCCATTTTCTCTTGTATGACTGTGAGAAGTTGTTGTTTACAAACTCGAATTGACGGCGGGAGTGCGAGCTTTACCGCTGTGGCAAGTGTCGGGCAAAATCTGAAGGGTCTATGATGCAGAAGTGGAAAGTAGGACCTGGGAAAAAACAGGGCGGGAGGCATCATGGACAGGTAGGTCTCCAGACTCAGCTGGGAAAGGGTCCGTGTCGATCCCTTTCGGAGCGGGTGATCCGCAAGGCTGATGTGTTGGATTAAGAGCCGAGTTTGTGGTATTTGGTTCTGTCTGCTATTGGCCTTAGTAAACTGACCGCGAGTCATTTGGGTAGGTGGGTGGCTGTTTTTGTGCTGTATCACAGGGCTTGCATTTGGCTGGCATCGCATCCGTGTAAACAGGGAAGTTTGGGAGTCCAAATCTTCATGGGCAGCTCTAAGTTGCATGGCAGTGGTGCAGGGAGCCCAGGGCTGGAGAAGGAATTGCATTCTTGTCTTGGCACTGCTTGGAGTGGTCCGTGAGGTCCCAGACTGGTCACTGTCTGAGCCTCAGAGTGAAAGAAAACTTGGGCAAGATGTTGTGAGCTGCAGAGATGCTGTGGAGGAACGAGGTTGCCTAGCTGTTCTGAACCTGGGATTACAGGTCTAGGTCTCCACTTTTCCCACAAATGTAATGAGAAAGGGTGGGACAGTGGGGTTGATAGTCCTGTCCAGCTTTTCAGAGCCAGGGCAAAGGGCACACAGCCTTTACTCTTATGGGGAAGGCTAGAGTGTAGCATGACCCACAATCACCTCGATATTCCCCCTGGAAGTTCCGGGATGGGACTCTTTCCTCCTGTGTCCCCTGATCGTCATCCCCAGGCTTGGGAAAAAGCGAGGCTTCTCTGCATTGCCTGGGTGCTCATCCCACCTCACCCCTGATTCTGTTTCAGCTGCGAGAGTACAAGGTGGTGGGGCGCTGCCTGCCCACCCCCAAGTGCCACACGCCTCCCCTCTACCGCATGCGCATCTTTGCACCTAATCATGTTGTTGCCAAGTCCCGCTTCTGGTACTTTGTGTCTCAGCTGAAGAAGATGAAGAAATCTTCAGGGGAAATCGTCTACTGTGGGCAGGTATGGGGTGTCCAAGACAGGGTGCGGTCTGGAGTGGGTTCACACCTTCCATAGGTCAGCCTTGGCCCCACAGAGTTACTACCCTTCAGAGCCCTAGTCCTGTTCAGGGTCCTAGGTGGGATGGGATGGGTGTGTCTCAGGGATCTTAATGAGAAAGCCCAAGAGCAGGGGTTGGCATGCAGGTGTGCTGGGACACCCTGGCTGAGGTCATCACCTTCCCTTGGCCTCATGTGTGAAGGGGAGAGAGGTGCTGTCGCCTGGGCACATTGCCATGATGGGTGTTGGACTCTACGCTGTAAGGCTGTGCTGGGCGGCAGCTGATTTTCAGCCCAGCTGGTCCCTGGAGGGTTGTGTTTGGGAGGAGTCAGGACTTGTGCTGGTCCCCACGGGGGAAGTAACCTGGACTGCTCTCCCTACCCCATTTATGCTGTGGAAATCTCTAGATGACAGGTTGCTCTTAGGTATCTGAAGGTTCCAGGGCTGTCCTTGGAACAGCAAGGGTAGAGGTGTTGGTTCAGTGAGGGTAGGGGCAGGTGGAGACCTGCTTATTGCTCTCCCCTCAGCCAGTCCTTTCCTTGACAGGTGTTCGAAAAATCCCCACTTCGGGTGAAGAACTTTGGAATCTGGCTGCGCTACGACTCCCGCAGTGGAACCCACAACATGTACCGGGAGTATCGGGACTTGACCACCGCAGGCGCTGTCACCCAGTGCTGTAAGTCGCTGTGACCCACCTATCTATCTATCTATCTATCTAGCTAGTTAGTGTGCCCCCCCCCCTTTAAATTTATATTGAGAAAAGGGAGAGAAACATCTGTGTGGTTGCCTTGCATGCGTCCCCACAGGGCACATAGCCCACAACCCAGGCATGTGCCCTGACTGGGAATCAAACCAGTGACCCTTGGGTTCACAGGCCAGCACTTAGTCCACTAAACCACCAGCCAGGGTGGGTCTTCTCTTCTTTAGAGTCAGAATTGACAGACATCTGCAGCTCAGTCTGACACCTCCCCAGACTGGGGCGGGACAAATGAAAGAAGTTTTTGGGAGTATTTGGAAGCTGTCCCAGGGTGATGTTAGGTGCAGGGGGGGTGTTTGATCAGGAAGCAGGAATGGGGAGGATGTCCCAGGCACATCTTTTTCTGGGATCTGGCAACAAGTGGACCTTTGGGGGTCGACGTCTTATACTCCCACTCATACCTGGGTCTAGCCCCTGTCCTGTGTTGGGACTGGAGGGGCCCAAGGCACTCCCAGGGTGGGCCATGTGCCAGGGCCAAAGCCCAAGCACCTAAACCCAAGAACTGCTGTTTGTCGTAGTAGCAGTTTAAACAGAGGTGCTGACAGTAAGTGGATCTCGTCGCCTTTGGGGGCTGTGGCTGTGCCCCTCAAAGTGAATTGGGAGGTTCTACACTCCTGGTGGCCAGATGAGGCCCCTGGGCAGACACCTGATGGCAGTTTGGGGAAACACCCAGAGACCCTGCATGTTCACTCTGCACGCTCCCTGCAGACCGAGACATGGGGGCCCGGCATCGTGCCCGTGCCCACTCGATCCAGATCATGAAGGTGGAGGAGATTGCGGCCAGCAAGTGCCGCAGGCCGGCAGTCAAGCAGTTCCATGTGAGTGCACTAGGGCCCTTGCTGGGCTGACGTGGGTCCCCTCCCCCCCGCCTTGGGTTTGACGCAGGAGCCTGGTGGGGGTTGTCCATACCTCAGCAGACCTTTCGAAGGATAAGGTTAAGAGGCTTCCACCCCCCACCTCACCTGTCTCTCTTTGTCATAGGACTCCAAGATCAAGTTCCCACTGCCCCACCGGGTCCTTCGTCGCCAGCACAAGCCACGCTTCACCACTAAGAGGCCCAACACCTTCTTTTAGATGCAGGGCCTCCCTGTCGCCTGGTCTACCCAAATAAACTCCTTGGGAAAACCAGGGTACTCAGACTGACTTGTTTTTTTTTGCACACCCTGCAGAACTCAACAGGGTGCAGCTAAATTGAGTTCTCAGCTCTGGGAGGGGTCTTCCAGAGTAGGACCCACACAGTGAAATCTCCTGAAGGGGTGCCCCAGTAATGGTGAGGGTCTCACCCCCAAGCTCTGTTCTGCCCACTCAGTTCCCTGGGGCTTTGTCTGGTGAGGAGCTGTCGCGAGTGGAGTCCTAGCACGAGAGGGATGAGTATTCAGCCTTATCAAGCCCTTCGTGAGCTTTGATGTATATCGTAGGCCATAGGTTTGGCCCTCAAATCTGTCCCACCTGCCTCACTAAACATGGGTCTCCACTTCTCCCCATCATTCTGGTGGTAAGATGTGGCAGCTAGACCCTGGGGGAGTCAGAATTGGGGTGGGTCCTCTCCTGGCCTAGAACCTCATTTTTGGTTCCAAGGTCCTCAAAGGAGACATGAGGTAGCCAAGAGACACGAGCCTGCTGTGTTCCAGTTCCACAGAGCATCTTGGGGCCCCTTGAGTGAACCTGTCCTGCCCGGGGTGTTTGAGGGCATCTGTCTCCAGGATATCACTCAAGATGTGGGACATTCCAGACATGAAGCTAATGCCACTCCAGCTGAGCCCTCAGCCAGGAGGCCGAGGTGTGTCACCTTGGACCCTCTGAGCACTGGCATCCAGGCCACCTACCAATGTACTCAGTCAACCATGCTTGGGGTGCAAGCACTGGGCACAGGCTGGCCGGGAGCCACCATGCATCAGGAGGGAGCCCCAGCACGAAAAGGCAGGAGAAGGCAATCAGGCCTGGGGTGTTCTAGGTAAGGACACAGCTACTGCCCTGCAGGGAGTAAGGTAATGTGCATGATTGCCCTGGTGGCTTCCAGAAAATAAAGCAACTTAAACCCACCATGCTTGGAGGGGCCAGATACTCAGGGCCTAGCTTGTGCACAGCCAGCTCTTCTCACAGAAAAGTGGCCTCAGCGGGTCCCAGGTTTCGGGGCCCTCACGGCTGCCTTGCCTGCTGCTCCAGCACAGTTGAGTCCTCACCTCTGGGCCTTTGCACTTGATGTGCCCTCTGCCAGCTCTCTGCAGGTCGTCACTGGGTTGGCCTCAGTAGTGTTTCTGAACCACGTGTCTGTTCTTGCCGCTTGGTTTTCTGTTCCCTGCCAGACTAAGTCTGAGGGCAGGAACCATCTCTGTCACTGTCCCCAGCAGTTTCTGTAATCCCGTGGGACCCAGAAAAGGGCAGTGATAGCCAGTCAGTATCCCTCCACCTGGCCTGCACCATATAGGGTTGGAATGTGAAGTTGCTGGGCCAGGTATTCGATTTTGTTGCTGCCAAAATACCCTCCCCAGACAGATCTATATCCAGGGTACTTTTCCCACCAGCATTAAGAAGGGGTCCTGCTTTTCTCCAGTGTTGCCAGCACTGGTAGGTTTAGCTAACTTGATGGCTGGGGGAAGAAAATCACATCTTAGGGTTTCCTTTTGGTTTCATGAAATAGATACTCTCTCCCTCCCCCATTAAAACAATTTGTATGACTTTTGCTCATTACTGGGCTGCTGGTTATTATTGGTTTGTAAATCGCGTGGGGTTTTATACATCCTCATGCAGGGCAAAATCTTTGGGAAAATATCCCCATGTATGTTGCAAATACATATTTGCCATGTGGATTTCATTAATCTTGTTTCTGACAGAAAGTCCTACTTTCCCCAAATATTCCTTCTCCCCTTCACTAATAGGATCTGCATAGGATGCCACCCAGGAAAAGTTCCCTAGCGTGCCTTGTGGCCATGTAATGGTAGTGATGTATCATTTCCAGGGAGTATCTAGCCAGTTAGAATATAGCCACAGTGACCACTGTCCAGTGATCATCCTTGGCCCTGAAGGGCAACTCACAGGAGCAGCAGGTGGAAAGAGCTTCGGTTCCTAACTCCTGAGGTGGGCCTTGGGGGTGGGCTTGTGGGGTGGGTCACTGCCTATTCTAAGCCCTAGTTTTTAAGTAAAGTGGGAGTGGTGATCCCTTTGTTCTTGGGAGGCTTGAGAGAAGCCAGAGGTTGAGTCTAGGATGTACCACCGGGAATGTGAAAGTCCAGGACCCCACAAAGGCCCACTGGTCACCTCATCCCCACCTTGGGGTTCCATTGAAGTCTCTCATCCACATTACAGCCTGGGGACCAGTTGGGAGGGCTCTGCCCCCACCAGCCAAGGGCTGGGGTCAATCCCATTATTGACGGTCTTGAACTGAGCATAGTAAACCCAGCTCCCCTACGTCATGCACTCTTCCCATCTGCTCATCCTCATACCAGTTTTCCCATAGACTCCTACCACATAACCACCCACCTGCAATTCGCCACACAGCTCTGCTCAGAGTGGCTGTTGGGGAACACTGGCTGGAGGTGACCACTGGACTGAGTCCTCAGTCTTCAGAGGGCGTTGTGCCAGGACCAGCCAGAGAAAAGGGCTGGAATTAGGAGATGGGCCTTCCACGTGGGGGCTCGTGAGGTGGGATGGCACTGGAATGATGACACCACTCAGATCTGCAGAGATGACAACAGGAATTCTGGGCCCTTCCACTGCCTCAGATGCTGAGGCGTCCCAGGGCCCGTTCCTGTGTATGTCCGGGTGCCAGGTGTCACGCCTGAACTGCGGCTGAGAGCCCTCGGGGAGAGACAGCCTTCCCTCCTTGGCCCACCCTCCACCCAGCTCCTGAGTCAGGCCCACTCCATTAGGACCCACTCACTGGATCCCTCAAGTGCTGCAAACTCCAGCATCTCCCCAAGCTCATATACCTCACCAAGGCTCGAGGTCCCTGGCGACCCTCCCTGTCCAGCTCCTTCCCACTTCAGGGATCTTCCCCAGCCTAGCTCATTCTCTTCCTTAAGTCTCCGCTTGCCACCCCAGAATTCCCCGTCCAGACCCTCCACATAAGGTCACCCCCAGACCAGCACTCTTGACATCCATCAGCTTCTGAGAAGGGTTTTCATCTGCTGGTTGGGTCAGTGTCCTGACCCTGTGTGCCAAATGGGTCCGCCTGGGTCCCCAGCGCCTGGGGCAGGGCCCTACTCACAGTAGGTGCTCAGTGCACGGGCCTCAGCCCATATTAGTCTGGCCTGGCATCGATTTGCATATGTTTTTATTTGCTTTCAGGGCTTTGTGTAAAGGAAGGAATCTGTGCCTAATTTCCCCTTTCCAAGCAGGTTTTCTTTTTTGTTAACTTTAATGTTTCATGTTTATTGATTTGAAAGAGAGAGAAACATCAGTTTGTTCCACCCATCTGTGCACTCACTGTGCTTCCTGTATGCTCCCTGACTGGGGATTGAACCCGGAAGCCTGGCTGTAACCAACTGAGCCACCTGACCAGGGCTCCCGGTATCCCAGGAGGATGTCTTGGGCCTGGGGCTGGAAAAATAATGGAGGTGAAAGAGAAACTGGACGGAGGGTGCAAGCCAGCTGACAGCAAATGCCCACGTGACAGTCCCAGTGTCCCAGTGCTCGGAAGGGGCAGGCCTGCCCTGCACATCGCGTATAGAGAGGGAAGAGAGTCCAGGAGGACACCTATGGAGGGCAGGGTGTGGGGTGGCGGGGTGGGACCGGGGTGACACTGGACTCGGCTGGGGCGGCACCTGCTGGCCAGATGCGGCCGCCAGGGGGCGACAGAGGTCGGGGAGACGGCCGCACCACAGCATCCGCTGATTCTTAGATCCCAGCTTCCTGAGCCCGAACCAGAACTCGAACCAGAGGTTAGAGCCTCCAGAGGCCAAAGTCCCTCCAGGTCCCTCAGGGAAGGGCCCCGAGATGACGGTGTCTGTGTTACTGGATGGCATGACCCCCGGGCAAGGGACTTCCCCTCCGGGTTTCTCAGTCTCCTCATTTGCATAATAGGTACATGTCAGGTGCTCATTTATTCGGGTTCACGGCCACTGAGAGCCGCTCCCGTGACCTTCGTTGTGCAGTGTGCGGGACACAGGGCAGATGCTCTGTAAGGAACCAAGGAATCAGTGGAGAGACGAGTGAAAAGTGCTTAGTCTGTGCCAGGTTTCTGTTTTTTCGAGTTCAATTTATTCCTCCGAGGCAGGGGCTCTTTGATCCGTATTTACAGATAGGGAAACTGAGGCCCAGAAAGAAGTGGACTTCCTCCAGTTGCTACACACTTAGGACTTGAACCCCGATCTTCCAATTGGCTAAGCTGGAAGGCAGAGTTTGGTGGTACGCTCCCGCTAGACTCTAGAGAAAGAGGGGTCAGTTGGAGAAGGGGCTCAAGCGGGGTGGGTTTTCCTTAGAGAACCCCGAAGCCGAGAAAGTGGACTCAGTCCTGCAGGAGAGTGATCTCCCTGTCACTTAAGGTTGTACAGCACGGTGGGGCTAAATGCTGAAGCCACTGCTCCCAGCTGTGTGGCCTGGGGTGAATGACATGAGGTTTCTGAGCCCGTTTCCCGCCAGTCAGCGGGAGACTTGACCGTCCCGAGTCAGGGAAGTCAGTGCCACAGGGAGCCTCGGATCTCCGCCCCCAGCAACCACTGCAGGGCCAGGCCCTGTCCAGGGATGAAAGGGTGCGAGCAGGTCTGGGGGCGGAGTTTTGCTGATCCGGGCGGGAGCTCCATAAATTCGCCACCACCGTGGGTTGCCCCTCCAAGCTCCATCAAGACCTGCCATTGTCAGCACTGAGCGGGGGACAGAACCTGGGTGGCGGAGACACAGCTTCTCGGGGCAGCTGGACGGGAAGCGAGGCGGACGGACAGACAGATAGTGGAGACAACTACCTAGACCGAGAGGAGAGACGCGGACAGACGGCCGCAGCGAGGGCCAGCGGGAACCAGGCGTGTGCCTCGCTGCGGAGGCTGAGCATCTCTCCGCGCCCGCCCGCGAAGTCCTTCCCTCCCCGCCAACCTCCCTGGCCCGGCCCGTGGCGTGGGAGGGTCGTACTAGGCTCCTGCGCCAGGACTTCATGGCCACCGTTGGGTCTGGGGCGCGGGCCACCTTTGGAGCCTGGGAC